AGAGAAACCAATAAGACAAGACTCTTCAACATTGTGTACTGGGGCCTGCTATCCATATCACCATTCACTTGAAGCTTTCAAGTTTGGAATGGCGATTGCGGTTCTCCCTTTTACCCTAAACCCTAAGCCCCCAACACCCACACCTTCAACCTGACACCCTTAACCCGCATAACCCCCGACCTCAATCCGGCGCCGCAAAAGAGCTGACATAGGAGTTTCTCAAAACATCTATAGGGTTTAGGGTTTATGGTTTAGGGTTGAGGGTAATTGTTAACCCTTAGCCATGCACCACAAACTTACCAATATTTACAGATTATAAGGAAAATATTACCAGCCGCTCAGCTTGATATTGAACTCTTTATAAGCCACTATATAACTCCTGTCTCGATGTCATCACCTCCATTTTCTTGTCCATTTGATTCTCCATTTGGCTAACCTAAGACCGAGATCCTAAGCATTCCTAAGGGCAAGGGTTTGGGGCGGAGGGCTTAGGGTTTAGGGATAAGGCCTTAAGTTTTAGGGTTTGGGGTTTAGGGCTTGAGGTTTGGAGTTTAAGGCTGGAGGAATCTGGGCCCCAAATCTACATCCTGAACCTGATAGGCCCTAGGCCCTGAACAAAAAAAACGGGGGACTCCCACTCTTTTGAGAAATTCCTTCGTAGCAGCTTTGCCAGGACGAGCTCTGGTTGCCAAGCTCAAGGGTTCAGGGCTTTAGGCGGAGTTTTTTTGTTTGGAATTTTGTGCTTAGGGCTTAGGATGTAGGATTTGGGACTTCCAGTTGAGGATTCAGGGCTTAGAGCTTCAATTGGAGACCGAGTTAACCAGAACAAGCTTAATATATAATGAATGCCTACGCTTGTGTACCAGAATCATGGTCAACATAAACTCCCGGCAGAGCCTTGGATTCAGGGTTGGGGGCTTAGGGACTCAGGATTTTTGGTATTGGGGTCTTGCTGAAGGTTCAGTGGTTGCTTCCCTAGACTGCTTTGGCTTCCTAAGCCCTAAAACCGAAACCCTAAACCCTCAACCCTACACCCTAAACCCTAAAACCTAAAACCTAAACCCTAAACCCTAAAACCCTAAACCCTAAACCCTAGATTCAGGGTTTAAGCTCTGGAGTTTTGGATTTGCTGTTTCCAAGCAGGGCATTTGCGTTTCAAGTTTGGAGTTGGAGCAGGTGAAGTGCATCCGAAGGTCTAGGGTTGAGGGAGCAAAACATCCTGGAAACACACGGCGAACTTGGCAATGCCCCATGTAACTTCAAACAAGCGGGCTCACATGAGTTACAACCAGTTATATAGCTGAAGAACATTAAAGTACTATACCCAAAAAGAGGAAAAATCTTACTCTATATTGGGTACCATAGTATCCCCAAATAGAATACCACACAAATAACCCCTATATAACCCAGTTTCCATTTCATTCTCCATTTTCTTTTCCATTTCATTCTCCATTATTGGGTACCATAGTATCCCCAAATAAAATACTGCTCAATTGTGTAGCTGAAAAACCAGCCATCTTGCAGGACCAATTTAGATAACATTGAGACTACTCTAATGGAGAATCAAATGGAAAAGAAAATGGAAAATGAAATGGAAACAAGGGAATACATAGGGATCATGGGTTATGTTGGGATATTGTAAAATAAACTGGAAACTACTATAATGGAGAATGAAATGGAAAAGAAAATGGAAATGAAATGGAAACCAGGGAATATATATGTATATATGGGTATAGGATGAGCCCTTACGCAGTGAAAGTATCAGCCTCACGTACCCACAAGCAACGCTAGTATAAGGAATGGCGAGAATAAGATATAGCGTATGTCGTTCTCAGGCATATGGGAAACAACAAGGGGATAATATCAGTCGTCTTTTCAGGCTTCTACAATGCTTTGCCCTGTCCTCTTGGCAGAATTTACATGTAAGCCACTGAGTCGAATCTCATCAGTGGATCACATGTAAGACATTTCTTCAAGGCGTGACTCGCAGCGAATCAAAGGCAAAAGACGGTCATGCTGCCTAAAGTGCTCCAGGGGTCTAGGGCTTTGGGTTTTAATAAATTTAGGGCGTAAGGTTTAGGTGGGTTTTTAATGGGTTTAGGGTTTAACGTTTAGAGTTTGGGGGTTTGGTTTTTGCAAGGAACCCAGAACCCCAAAAAGGGCAAAGCTGCCAAGTGCAGAACCCGGCTGCTGTATCTTGGTGTTGCAAGTAAGGTCGAACCTGGACCGTCGAAGCCGGGTTGAGCTCAGGCTTCAGGGTTTCGGGCTTTAGGGTTTAGGTTTCAGGTGTCAGGGTTTAGGGTATACCGTTTCAGCTGTAAGCGTCTACTGGTCAAGGCTCTTACGAAGGATTTGACTTAAATTCCAGAACCACAACCATAAACCTTAGTCTTTTCGACTGATGCTCCAGGGTTTGGTTTTCAGTTCTCTGCTGCAAATTGAATGGCTTGAAGCTCAGGTCTGAGCCCAAGGGCTGCAGATGGGGGCCCTCTCACATTAGGAAACTCTTTTTTGTGGTTAGGTTTACTCTTTTGGGGTGTTTAGGTTTACTCTTTTTTGGGGTTTAGGTTTACACCTATTGGGGTTCAGGTTTACTCTTTTTGGGGTTTAGGTTTACTCTTTTTGGGGTTTAGGTTTACTCTTTTTGGGGGTTTAGGTTTACTCTTTTTTGGGGGTTTAGGTTTACTCTTTTTTGGTGTTTAGGTTTAGGCTATCTTGAAGCTATTCCTTCTTCAGCTACGAACCACCGTTATGCATAGGGGCTTCGAGGCCCTTCAACCTTGAAACCTCAAGCCCTAAGCCTTACAAGCCGTGACTGTTAAAATCCTTATCCTAGATCTTAAGCCCTGAACCTTAGGCCCGCAACCCTATAACCTTGAAGAAGCCCAAAACCCTGAAACTTCAGCCCGAAACCCTACACCCTAAACCCTCGAACCCTACGTCCTTAATCCTTAAACCCTACACCCCCTAAACCCCTAAACCCCTAAACCCTTAAACCCCTAAACCCTTAAACCCTAAACCCCTAACCCCTTAACCCAAAACCC